CTGCACCCCGGTGGGGCTCTGGGTCTGTGGCTAGACTTCAGGGCTCAGGGACTGCTGAATAAGCAGCCGGCCCAGGAAGTGACGGCGGAGCTGGTCTTGCAGCCAGAGCAGCGGGGGGCTGTCCCTGTCCCCTCAAGTGCGAGGGACAGCCCAGCTGCTCACCTCTGGGGCTGGCTCAGAGCTCCCACTGCTTGCTTCCCAGAACAGCTATAGAAGAGGCGTCCCAGGCTCCGCGGGGGTCTGGGGACAGGCTGGCTGCTTCTTGTGGCTCACGCTGCCCCAAGTCCCCGGACCCTGGCCCAGGCAGTCCCAAGCGTGGCCACAGACGGGTGGTTCAACCCTCCCTGGGACCCAGAAGGGGCCATCAGCCCCAGGCTTGGGGTCCTGTCCAATAGATAGGCGGGTCGCCCAGCCTGGGGCCCCTGTCTGCCGGCGGGTCGCTGAGCCCTTCCGGGCCCCACCCAGGCTGCTCCCAGGACCCACCTGGTGAAGCCCCCAGGGCACAGGGCCTCCAACCCAGCGCAGCAGGTAAATGCCCACCTGAGGCAGAGGCTGGGCTTCCTGAGGGGTGGGTGGGCCTGGAGAAGGCCCTGCCCGGAGCCACGTGCTGAAGAGCAAGGCCTCTGGGCCTCCTGCAGGCACCGAGGGGCCGGGCTGGGGCTGACGAGGTCAGGAGTCCAGGGCAGGTGGTGGGGGCTGCGGGCTCCTGGGGTCACGCAGAAGCAAGCAGACAGTGGGTGACTGAGGGCAACACTGCCCTGCGGTGGCCGGTGTCCGAGGCCACACGGCCAGGACGGGAGGTGCAGGGACCGGGACAGCCCAAACCCGCGGGGTCCGTGTGTGTGGGTCGCAGGCGTGTGCACTGTCCCGTGTGTGCGCATCTGTGCGCTCTCACGTGTGCATACCCGTGTGTGTGTGCACCTGTGGAGGGGGTCGGGGGCTGTGGTTTGCACATCTCAGCCTATGCACGTGGCCGTGTCTGCACGCACACGCCTGTCTGTTCCTGTCGCCCAGACCTGTGCCTGTGGTCCTGCGCGTGCCTCTCCTCGAGGGGGAAGCTGGGAAGAGGACACCTTGGCCTTGTGCTTGGCCACCCTAGGAGCTGGCTATAAATAGGGAACCAGGGTGGGGGGGGCCTTTGGACAGGCACGGGCCCCAGGAGACTGGGCTGGAGTGGCCTGGAGAGGCTGGGCCGCAGACAGAAGTGCAGTGTCCCCGCATGCAGCAGCCCTGCGGCCCATCTAGGGCCAGCAGCTGGGAGCTGGATTCCTGGAACCCCTAACCAGCTGGGGGGACGAGGGGCAGCTGGGCTGGGCGGGGTGTGCGCCTGTCTGGGCTGTAGGGAGCCTGGCAGGCGAGGAGGACAAAGCTAGGCTGTGGGTTCTGTGTGGGGCTCAGGGGCCTGGAGGGACGTTGGCCCCAGAGGCTGCAGGGCAGAGGGACAGCTGGGGTGGGATGGGGTACAGGGGTGCCCGGAGGGGACTCCCAGGCCTCCACTAGGAGCTGGGGTGGCTGCAGCCCAGCCTCTAGGAGTTGTAGCGAGTACAGCTGTGGTAGGCGCTGGCGTGGGACAGTGGCCTCCGGCCAGGGACAGCTGCTGTGCAGGGGTGGCCACGCAGGGCCCGAGTGTGTGGGGGGCATGTCCAGTGCGCGCGGCTTCAGTGTGCACAACTGTGTTCAGGTTGGGGTGCACACGTCAAGCACATGTGTGAGGCCCTGTCCCCCCACAGCACAGCCCCTTCACAGTCTCTGGTCTGCGGCCCCCCACAGGAGTCCTCCTGCCCCCGCCCCCGCCAGTTGCCCGCCCCTGCAGCAGGCGAACCAAGACCCCTACCTCCTGCCCCTGGCACTCAGCAGTCCAACCTGCCATCCCCTCGGGCTCTGAGCCAGGGCGCTCCTCTTGGTCCCTGCTGGGGTCCCTGCCACCGGGCACAGAGGAGGGCCTCTCAGAATGAAAGAAGTGACCGAAGAATGAGGGAAGGCCTGCGGGGTGAGGGGCGCGGAGATAGGAGGGCGGGCTGGACACCCTCAGAAAGAAGCCTCCTGGCGCCTCTGCTGGGAAGGCAGAGCCTGGGCCGTGGGAGCCGAGGGGCTGAGGCAGGGGTGCCCCCACGGCCCCCCACACCGTCCCTGAGGGCCGCTCTGCCCTCACAGACACACGGACACCCGGAGGACCCTCTCTCCTGGTGGCAGACAGACAGAACCCCCTCCCCAGGGAGGCCGGCCCGCTGGGGGCTGTGCTGGGCGAGCAGAGGCTCCGGCGGCGGCGGGGCGGGTGGTGGGCGGCCAGGGGAGGGCCCCGCAGAGCCCTCGGACTGTGAGTTGGACCGTGAGCTGGGGGCCGGGGCTCAGCCGGTGCGCGCAGGAGAGCTCAGAAGCCAGAGGTGTTTTCCCCAAATGGGCTGTTTCCCCACGAAAAGATCTGCCTCTAAACACAAAAGTCCCCCCCCGCCCCCCCCCCCGCTCCCGCCCTGCAATGACTCCCAGCCTCCGGGCTCCTTCTCTCCCGGGCTAGAGAAGGGCAGGGTTCAGGTGGGGGAGGAAGGAAGGAAAAAGAGAGGGAGAGGGGAGGAAGCAGAGACGCTAGAACAGGACAGGGACACCAAGCCCGGCTGCGGAGAAGCCCACCACGGGCTGCGGGCCAGGGGTGGCCGTTGCGGGGACCCTCCTTCCGGGGCTCCAGAGCTCAACCCAGGCTCGGGCACGCAGGGCTCCAGGAGGCCTGGCGAGCCTGAGCGCAGCTCCCTGCCTGCCACTGGCTCCTCATAGGGCCAGCCGTGGGGCCCAGCGACCCTGGCTGGCCTCGGTCCTCGATGCACCCGGTGCCTGCGTTCTCCACCAGGAGGAAGATTCCCAGGTGGGTCTTCTGGTGGCAACAGTGAAAACTAAGGGGTCCTCGTCCAACGCTGGCCGGCAGACTCCGCCCATGCCCAAAAGGACACGGGCTTCCGTGGATCCTGAGTCCTGGGGTCCCCTTCCTGAGGCTGGCTGGGACCTGCTGAGCTGGCTGCCCCCCATCAAGCTGCTGGCCCCCCACCTGGTGCTTGAGCTCATCCCTGCCTCCCCCATTTCTACCTCTCTCAGCACCAGCATTTGTGCCCCCCAGATGTGCGGCCTCTTGCTCTCCCCGCCCCGGGGGCTCGAAATCTCAGCCCTGGGGTCCGGGAATTTTGCTGAAAGCCCCAGAGACCCCACAGTCTTGATACCAGTTCTATTCTAAAGCCAAAGGGGAGGCGGCCGCTGTCACCTCTTCTCTGGGTCAGGCGGGGACAGCAAGCCCAGCTCGGGCCGGCGCCCACAGAGACCGGCCGCCGTCCTAGCACCAAGGACGAGCCCTCACTGTCTCCAGATGGAAACCTGCCGGCGACCCGCGCAGCCCAGCTCAGTAAACGTGCATACAGCGGAGCTTCACCGTCCTCCGTCCCTTGGTGAAGAGGTGACAAGTCTCCTAAGTCCTGCAACTGCCGCGGACCCTTTAGGGTGAGAGACTTCTAGAGGTCCTGCTTCTCCCCGGCGACCCGCAGCCCGGCCTCCGCCCTTCAGAAGACAGAGGCCAGGCCACCCCTTGCGGTGTGGGGGGGGGACTGTGGGCTCAGAAGGCATGGGGACAAGTACCGACCACCGCCCCTTAGAGGGAGCCGGGGGCCACCACCCTGAGGCCTTCCTCCCCACCGGGCAACCAGGAGAAGGTGCCACCAGCTGGCCGCAGCCTTGTTTATAACTCTGGTCAGAGTCTCTCTGGTGGCCCAGGCGGGTCACCCAGAGCTAAGGCAGGGCCCTGGTCACGGGCCTCCTTTTCTTTTATCTGGGGAGAAACGGCAAAAATGAAAGCCACAGAAAAACCAACCAGGCTCCAGTGACTTTGGATCTAAACGGATTTATTTTGTGTGTGTGTTTTTTCCCCCTTTCCTCGGCTTCATAGCAAATGAAAAAATTATCCAACAAAACGCAACAACACAAGAAAACTTTCAACGACTTAGAGTGTCTCCCACTCAGAGCACTGGGCAGGAGCAGGCCTGGAAGGAGCACAGGACCCACTGGAGGCCAGAGGCCTGGCGGACCTGCAGGGACCCCCGGCTAGTGGCGGCTTCCTCCTCCCCACTGGCTAGTCCAAAGTGCCACTGGGCTTTTTTTCTTTTTTTTTTTTAAGATTGCACAAACAAAACGAAACACAATTTAAATTAAAATAAAAACACTTTCTTCAATTGCCCCCATGCCAGGAGGTTCAGTCTGAAACCTCCTCTTTAAAAAAAAAAAAATTTTTTTTTTCTAGAAATACTGTGCATTACTTTTCTTTTTTCTTCCACTTCTCTTGAAGGTTAAAATAAGATATATTTCCCCGGGACTCATAAATACGATCTAGTGCATAGAGAAATAGCAGGGGAGTCCGGGCCAGCCCCCACCCTCAGAGCGCGGCGACCCCCCAGCCCCATCCCCACCCCCCTCCCCCCGTGAGTACAGCAGGGCAGCAGGACTGAACACGGCATAGATAATATCCCTCGGCTTCAATCTCTAGGGGACGCCGGCGGCAGGGCGGGGGGCAGGCGGGCAGGCAGGGACCGGACCCCTCCGAGCGAGCGAGCGAGCGAGCGACACATGCTGGGACACGCGGACGTCCGAGGGTGGACCCCGGCCGGGAACGCGGGAACTTCCTCCGGGGTTTTCTTAACTAATCACCGAGCAAAAGAAACAAATTCTTCGAAAATAAAGTCGCTTTAAAAAGGAGTCGTAGAAACGGGCAAGGAACGGGAGGCCGCGAGAAGGCCGGCGCGCGGGGAGCGGCGGGCGGCGGCGTCGGGGCCGGGGAGCCGCGCGCCGCGGCCCGGCAGGCGGACGCCGGGGAGGAAGCCGGCTCCGGCCCCGCTTGGCCGGGAAGGCCCGCGCTCCGTGCGCGGAGGGGGCGCGGCCCCATCCCGGACCGCGAGCCGGGAGGGCGCGGGGCGCCCGGCGGGCAGGGGCCTCCAGTCCGGCGCCGGCGGCCCGCGCGGCCCGCGCCTCCGGCCGGTGGCGGCTGCAGCGCGCGCTCGGCCCGGGCGGTCACAGGAAGAAGTCGGGTGCGCCCTTGGCCCCGCCGGGCCCGGCCTGCGGCGGCGAGGACTCCCGCGGGAAGCCGGCCCCGCCCGCGCCCCCGGGGCCGCCCCGGCCCGCCAGCTTCTCGTATTTCTCCTTGTACAGGTCCCGCTCCTTGGCCAGGCGCCCCACCTCCAGCTTCAGCTGCTCCACCTGGCTCTGGAGCTGGCACTTCTCGCTCTCCAGAATGTGCCGCTGCTGCACGCGCTTGAAGCGGCACGACTGCGCGTAGCCGCGGTTTTTGAGCGTGCGCCGCTTCTGCTTCAGCCGGATGACCTCCTCCTTGCTGAAGCCGCGGAGCTGCCGGTTCAGCTCGCGCACCGACATGGACACCAGCTGGTCGTCGGAGAAGCGCTCCTCCAGGCGCACGTGGTGGCCCGCGCTGCCGCCGCCGCCGCCGTGGTGGCCCGCGCCCGCGTGGTGGTGGTGGTGGTGGTGGTGGGCGGCGTGGTGCGCGCCGTGGTGGTGGCCGGCGCCCATGTCGTCCGCGCCGCCGCCGCCCCCGAAGCCCTGGCCCCGGAAAGCCTCGTAGGCCGCGGCGGCCGCCGGGTGGTGCGCGCCGTGGTGCCCGGCGTGGTGGCCGCTGCCGATGAGCGCCTCCACCGCGTCCTCGGGCGTCAGGTTGAGCGCCTCGGGGTTCAGGTGGTGCTGGTAGCCGCTCATCCAGTACAGATCCTCCAGCGCCGGCTTCCCCGAGGCGCCCCCGACGGCGCCCGGGCCCCCGCCCGTCGGCCCCGCGGTGGCCCCGGCCTGCGCCGCGCCGCTGCCGCCCCCCGCGCCGCCGCCGCCGCCGGTGCCCGGGCTGGGCGCGCAGAAGCTGGGCGAGGAGGGAACGGAGGAGCAGGGCGTGCTGAGCGGCGTCGAGGACAGCGAGCCGGGCGGCAGGCGGTGGCAGAAGCGCTCGGCCTCGGGCGGCTCCTTCTTCACCTCGAACTTCATCAGGTCGAAGTCGTTGACGTACTCGATGGCCAGCGGGCTGCTGGGCAGTTCGGCGCCCATCGCCAGCTCCGCGGCCATCGCCCGGGGGCCCCGGCCCCGCTGTCGCGCCCGGCTGCGCCTCGACGGGAGGCGGCGGCGGCGGGCGGGGGGGAGCCGCGGGCCTCTCCCCCCCTTCACTCCCCACCCGCGGCGGGTCTCGGCGGGGGCGGCGCCCAGAAGCGCAGGGAAAAGTTTCGCGCTGCCAACTTGGGGGCGACCGCGGGGGACGCCGCCGCTCGGGCTTCTCCGGCGGCCCGGGCCGCACCCCGGGGGGCGCAGGCCGGCCCCGCTCCCTGTCCCCGCGTCGGCGGCCAGGCGGGTGGCCGGGCGGGTGGCAGGGAGGCCGCCGCCTCGGGCCGCTCGCGCTCCCCGCGCTCCGCCCGCGTCCGGCCGGCCCCGCCTCCACGCCCGGGCGCCGCGCCGCGCGCTCCCCTTTATAGAGCAGGGCGCTCGGGCCCGCCTTCCTGGGAGGGGCGCGAGCCCTCAGGCCAATCGGAGCCCCAGACCCGCCGCCCTCATTTGCCTATCCCCATGGCAACCCGGAGCCCAGCTGTCAATCTCCTGCGGGGAACAGCTGTGGGAAGGGGTGATGACCCGCAGCCCGCGAGAGGAGGGGGCAGGGCCCTCTGGTGGCCGCCGCGGGGGACTGCACGCACAGAGGGCGCGGGGCCGAGGGGTGCGGAGAAGGCGCCGCGCAGGGGGCACGGAGCCCCGCCTGAGGCCCCCAGGGCTCCGCGTCCGCGACGGGGAGGCCGGGGAGTCTCGGGGAGCCGACGGGGCCCCTCGGTGCCTCGCTGTCCCCGCCGCCCCGCGCGCCGTGACCCCGCAGCCCCGCGAGCGTGACGGCGCCGGGACCTTCCGGCCTGCGGACACCGGGGCCACCGCGCGGCTCGGGCGGGCGCGGCTCGGGGAGTGCCGGTTATTTTTAGCCGCGCGGTCCGGGCGGGTTCAGGAATTTAGTCAACAAAGTTGCTGGCACTCGGTCGGCGGCTGCACCGCGGGGCGCAGGTGGGGGGGACGCGGGCCGGCGGCGGGGGGGGCCGGGCGGGGTGGACACTGGGCGCGCACGGCTGTGCAGCGGGGCGCGCTCGCGGAGCAGGGGACACGACCCCTCCGGGGTGGGCGGAGCCGGGAGGCGCCGCGCCTCGCGTCTGCATCACGGGAGTGCTTGGGGCCCCGCCGGATTTTCCATCCTGCTGTTCTAGGACTTCGGGTAACAAATTCAATCTTATATATAACCATCCGTGCATGGAAAGAAAATTCTGGAAGAACCTGGGCAGGAAGTCACTAGGGCAGTTTGTTTTTGTCTTGTTCTGGGCATAAATGCCGTTATTAGAACAAAAATTCATACAAGTGGGACCAAAACCTCACTTCCTAAGATGTCATGGGGTGGCCCAGCCTGCACTGTCGCCTTCCAGGGCTGTGCTGGGCAGGCAGGGTCAGGGCCACCACCAGGACCCTCCTGCCCTTGCCGGGACAGCTCAGCCAGAGGCAGAAGCAAGGCCCTGGCCACGCTTGGGCTCCAGGCTACGTGGGTTGCCAGTTGCCCTGCAGGGTTTGACCCCCACGCAGCGTTCAGACGGAGGTCACACTCAGCCACCACCAAGTCTAGCTCAAGTGGGGACAGGTTCCCCTACATCCGGCCCCCAGATGTGCTGTTCGAAGATGCTGGGCCCTGCCCTCCATCACACGCTCACTGGGCACACAGCACTTTGTCCCCGCACCCACGCCTTCATTCACTGCCCGGGGAAGGGGCTGCCTGGGGAAAGCAGGGCACTTGTGTCCCCGACCGGCTCAGACACTGGCCTTGGAGTCAGACTAGCCAGCAGGCTTGCCTCAGCTCTCGGCCGCTTGGGAGTCTCAGAAGCAGGAGCCCCCAGGGGAGGCCCCCAACCCCTCAGCTTCTTGCTGGGATTTGGGGGCACAGCAAGGCAAGCGTTATTGAGTGACAGTCTGAAGTTCCCAGAGAGGGAGGGACCTGAGAGGGCTGCCCCCCTTGCTGCCCTCCCTGTCGGGTCCCCATCGCCCCTGCAGCCTCCGCCAGCTCTCCTCCTGCCAGTCGTGGTCGGGCCGGTGGGAAAGGGCACCAGGGTCGCTGCCCGCGGGTTCTTGAGCCCAGGGAAGGTGCTGGCCTTTCTGGGCTCCTTCCTGCTCAGCCAGGGCTGGGGAGCAGAGGCCGTGGGGCCTGGGGCTCACCCTCCTATTGGCCGCAGGAAAAGCGGACGGGCGTGCCGTGGGCCCTCACAGCCAGAGCAGCGCTGTCCCCTCGGCCCCCTCGACAGCCCATCTGTGCCCAGAAGACGAGCATCCTGGTTCCGAGCTGCCCCAGAAAGTGCGCGTTGCCACGCCACACCTGCTTGCCGGTCCTCTCTTGACCCAGCAGGAGTCTGCGGGGCCCACCCCCTGGCTCGCCATTACATGCGCCCCACAAATCTTTAGAGTTCCTGGTGCACGGCCTTGGTATCCTCTGGGAAGGTGGCCCAGAGACAGACCTGTGGTGGGAAGCGAGCCGGTGGCAGTGGGAGGACGGAACGTGGCTTCTCATTCCGCACCTGGGGTCCGTGCTGGGTGGGTGTGTCCCAGGCTGAGCCCCACAGCTGGGATTTCCTGGAGACAGGGGCAGTGGGGCAGGGGGTGGCCGGAGCCAGTGGGAGTGTCTTGGGGCCCTGGCCGAGCTGGGTCTGGGTACAGCCTGCACACGGTCGCTCCCGTGGGCTCCCCGGGCTGCCCTGCAGCACATGGCTAGGCCCGAGAGCAGCAGGGGGCGGGTGCCTGGCATTTTTGAGGGGCCCTCGCCAGCCGAGGCGTGGCGGCCTGCCCACGGCCATAGCCCAGGTGCAGGAACATGACACGGTTCTGGCATCTATGCGGGGCTGGCAGAGCGCGAGTGCGTTGAGGGCAGAAATAAGCCACGTGGTAACCCACCGGCCGGCCACGCAGCATGTCGGCACTCCTGTCGGGACAGACTGCCCTGAGTCCAGCGACTTAACCCACGCGGGCTCCGTCCCGGCGTCTGTGGCCTGCAGGCTCGATGGCCGGTCAGCCCCCTGCGCAGGTCTCGCAGGCGGTAAAGCAGCTCGCAGCTCCCCGGCTGCAGGCCTGGCCCTTTCCGAGTCGGAGGCATCCCGGCCCCAGCTGCCTGGTGGCTGGCGGTCCCCTCCTGACCCCGAAGCTGCCCCCCCAGGCTGCAGGACAGCCTCTGGAGGCTTCCATCTGCGGGATACAGTCGGCCAGGTTCTGGGCCTGGAAGGGGTCCCAGGTCGTGGCTATCTCAGTGGGAGCCCGGGGAGGTGAGAGGACGGCAGGGGGTGTTGGGAGGAGCTGGCTGCAGGGTGTGGGGCCTCCCCCGCAGGCCCACGGGGGAGCACGGGCAGGAGCCACCAGCGCCACGCTTGTCCTAGGCCAAGGGCACTGCCTGGGGCTCGGGACCCACGATGCTAACTACGGCTCTGGTAGGGAGTGTGGTGCTGCACTGGGTCTGGACAGGTCACTGTTGTCCAGTCCCCGCTGCTCAGGGGTCCCATCTCCCACCACACCCCCTTTCTGGGCTCAGTGACAGCAGGGCCCAGTGCCCTCCCTGCTTAGAATGAGGCAGCCACTGTGTGCCAGGCACACTCTGGGGGGTGCCCACGACAGGGGGCAGGTACTTCCTTGGGGAACGGCCTCAGGCCGGGAAGCCCATCCCACCAGGGACACTCCCCCAGTCCCAGGTGAGGCCAGGCCCACCCCGCCCCAGTCCACGCCTCCCCCTTGATGCTCTCACGTCAGGTGCCTGCCTTCACCCTGACTGAGGGCACCCCGGCTTACAGCTTAGACGGGGACAACGGCTCTAAGGTCTCCAACGCCCACGTGTCTGGGGCCCAGCCCCTCCCCTCCAGCTCAAAGGGTCAGCAGAGGGTCTCCCCTCTGCTGCGGGGTCTGAGCTGGGTCACCAGCCCTGCCGTTCTGCTGGCTGCCTGACCCTAGGCCTCAGCTGGACAGCTGTCCCTGCCCCGGCCACAGCAGGCAGCGGGCCAGCCAGCGCAAGGGGGCCCCGGCCCGGCTGCCACCTCACATGGGGCTCCCCGCCCTCGTGTGGCCCATCTCAGAGTCTCCACGACCTGCCACACCAGGGCAGTCCATGGACAGGCATGGACCTGTGGCCAGAGACATAGGATCCAGGAGAGGGGACGGCCCCTCCCTGGTCTGAGGGACCCGTGCTGTGCCCTCTGCGAAGGCCACACGCTCTGCCTGGAGCCCAGTCAGCCTCAGCCGGCAGCTTGATCTGTCTGGGTTGGTGCGAGGGGACCAGCACCTTCATCCCTGAGGGTCTCTGCTGGCCTGCGCCTGACACGGGAAGCCCAGAGTGCCCCCCCACCCCACCCTGGGCTGCCCAGGAGCCCGGACTCTGACCAGGCAGAACCCAGGCCGACAAGGTCCCCAGATGGGTCGCAGGGAGTGTGGGGGAGCTGGGCCCCCCCCAGAACAGGGCAGCCACTGGCCCGGCCTCTCCTGCTTCCCAGAGTGCCAGCCCTTCCCGAGCCTTCCATGCTGGCCACGGTGGTCAGACCTGCTGCTTCCGGGTGCTGGGCTTCCCGTGGGGCCTGCGCCTGCCGCATGGCTTGGAGCAGTCAGGAGACTGGGCTGAGCGTGGTGCTGGGAGGGGCAGGCCCCCGGGGGCTGTCCCGCACGCAGTGACCCAGCTGTCCAGCCGACCGTGGGGCGCCCACCCACCATGCACACAGCTGTCCACTCTGCAGCCCGGGCTGCGCGTCCCCGTCCACCGTGAAGGGAAGAGCAGGAAGGCCGGGAGGAGGTGAGGGTCTGAAGGGGCCGCAGCTCGGATCAGGCGGGACCAATAACCACATCTCCAGCCATCTGTCCGTCTGTCCAGGCAGAGGAGGGAGAACTGATCCCCAGCCCTGTGCGGGGGTCACGGTGGAAATGGCGAGGACGCCCCGGGGGAGGAGGGGCAGGAGATGGGCCCGCGGCCTGGACTCCTGGCCCAGAGACTGGCGGCTGTGGGGTCCCCCACTGTCGGTGCCCCACCCAGACCCCGCAGCCCCTGCCCCGCTCCCCCGAGGGCCCAGCCCACAGCGGGGACCCCACTGCTCACTGAGGGGGAGTCCCTTTCCTTCCAGCCGGGGCTGACTCCGGACCCACCACGCCGCCAAATCAGTGGCAGTGGCCTCGAGCACACGTCTCCGGCCTCTGGGGACGTCCGCCGGGGGTCCCAGGTGGGGGCGGGGGCAGCAGCAACCACAGCTGACTGTGAACTCCTGTTCCGCCTCACTGGTCACCGGCTGCCACAGATGCTGGCCTGGCCCCTTGCCGTGAACCAGCCCCGTCCTTGCCACCTCTGGAGCTGGACAGGGATGGCCCCCATCAGTCAGGGAGCAGTGGGGCACAGGACCTG